GCATTCTGAAGCTTTGGTGATTTCTGCTAAGGTGGTAGTGATAATACGTACGTACCCATTGTGTTTCATACTTAAATTGGAACATTTACTTGTGGTAAGTATGTTATTGGATATATTACATCTGGTGCTTTTGTTAGGACAACTTACATTTACATTACATTAGAAAAACATAAAAGCACACATAGAACTAATTAATTTTCAAGGATTTGAATTCAGATCAAACTATAAGAACATAGTGGCCTTAACTACCCAGCTATAGTTAGGAAGTATGATTACAGGATTTAATTTGCAAGGTAATCTTGAGCTATCTATTCTGTTTACGATGCAGATCTTTAAACGATTTGAATATTCAAAGGCTGAATTGTTTCTTTTTCAATGAAATGGCAGAAAACCATGTTTAGCTCATAGGCATTAACCAAAATGTCTAAATAAGACATCAGCTCAAGACCAGGCTCTTACACGTAGAAAGTCCAATTGTTTTTTAGTTTAAAGCCTCATATATGACAAGTATAACTGACAAAAAAACTTTCATAAAATGGTAAAAGTATATTTATGGGTACCCCTTGGTGATTTTTGGGGGTACATGGATATCGAGTTTGTGCAATTCTTTGACTTGTTAATTTGGCTCACGGATACACAAGCCAAAATAACAAGACAAAGAATTGCACAAATTTGGTACTCATGTACTCATCAACCTATTTACACTTAAAAAAAATATCTCAGAATTGCACAAACTTGGCATTGAACACACCATTGACTTTATCCACGAATACATCGACAATTTTCACTTAAAAAAAATCAGAGAACTGCACAAACTAGGCATCTTTGACTTTGTCCATATACACATCAAACTACATTCATTTAAAAAGTCAAAGGAGCAGCCAACAAAAAATATATATAATCTCAAGAAACTACATTTTAACCGCTTGCCTGATTATCTCGGGTTTGTATATATCGCAGTTAATTATTATCCCGAGAAAATCTCGGGTTTTAAGTTTCTCGGGATAATAAAAACGAGAGTTAATTATTATCCCGAGAAAACGAGGCCGAAGCAGAATTTGTTAGTACGATTTCTTTTATCACGGTTTTACTCGGTCTGGAGGAAATATTTAGCTTTGATTGGCAGTTTGCCAAATTTTGTTGGTTGCACGGTTCTTTTGGAGGGACTGGTCGTGTGTTTCCCTATTGTATGGTATACGTTGGCTTGTGGATTAGCAATGTATAAAGAAGGATGCATGCGTTGAAAAAAAATAAAATAATGGCGATGATGGAAGATAGCGAAAGCGATGATTTTTCAGATGGTGATTATGAAAAGGTGGGGGGGGGAATCAAATCCAGCGAGACAGTGTACTCTGTGCTCCCGTGAAAGAGATTCCAGCGATAAGCCAGTAAGAAAAGAGACCAGATACCAGTGTAGAATGTCAGGTATCACTCTGTGTTGCTACTTGTTTAAAAAACTATCATACAAAGATTAATATTTAACTTTTTTTCGTTTGCCCGAGATAACTCGGGATAGTAAACTAATATTAAAAATAAATGCTTTTTCACCTTCAAAAAATTAAAAATTCAACTTAAAACCTACATATTTTGATTTGTTTCAGTTTGTTGTATTTAATAATAAAATTAAAAAAATGTGATGATTTTTTTTCCAAAAAATTTGTGAGGGAAGCGGTTAAATCAAACAATGAAATAACATAAAACATGAAATTCATCTTTGCACTTACACAAAGGAAATATCCACTTACCTTATTTACGAATTAACACGTCTTCAGTCAAACACAACTCTTTAACAGTATCCAAAAACTTCCTAAAATTATCTGAACTGGAATCTGTATACTGGCATTGCCACATAAATTCACAAAATAAGAGTCAAAAATATCCTCCGTAACGCCTTATTGTCCAACCATATGCATTTCCTTCCTACAAACAAGACAATAATGGCTACTATGTAACCCTCCATTTACACACGCAGTCAAGCAATACTCTTTTCCCCTTTCTTTCAAAATCATACAGAGACTTCAAATTAATCTTACTACATTCAGCAATTTTACTGTCTAAACCAGAAAACAAGTAATGTACTTTCTAACCAACACACACGACACGCCCTTACAAATTCACTGCAATCATGCAACCGATTACGCCATAATAGGGTTTCCATAACATTCAACTACTCAGGCTAGCATAAATAAACCACCACTTGGAGATAAATGAAACAACAACTTTGCAATAATACAAGGGGTACCCTTATCTCTACTGAGTAAAAGTATATGTACGGGTAACCCTTAGCGATTTTTGGTGGTACATGGATAACGAGTTTGTGCAATTCTTTAGCCCCGTCTACACGTCCCAATTTTCTTGTAGAGCAGCAATTTTAAGGATCTGCACATGTGCTAGGAATCAGTCATGTTCTCTGCCACGATTTCAGATCTAGTGTTCACTGCTCACTAGCATCTCTAGCTAATGAGATAGCTTCTAGTGATCATTTACTTTTCTCGTCATTTGGGAAAAAATAATAAACATGGTGCTATTTTGTTGGAGTGAGGATCAGACCTTTCATCTGATTGATTTCTACAGGGAAAATATTGTACTGTGGGACACAAACAACATAAATTTTTAAAATAAAAAATTAAGGGATTACCTTATTTTGGTAAGTTTTAATCTTCCTCGTTACTTTATAACTTCAAATATTTTCTATTCATGATGAAAATTATCTTATGCATGTATACTACAGGGTGTTTTATAGATCATGGGACAAACTCAGAGGGGTGGTGGAGCATACTAAAACATGAATTTTTTTTATAGGAATGTAGGGTCTAAAGTGACGGGTTAAGGCAGGAACGCAAAAAAATAACACAAGAGGAAAATGTGTACAAAAATTATGTACAAAATCAAAACAAAGTGCTTCTTTGTAGCAATACAGTATTCACAATAAATGTTCAAAATTGCGACCACCAGCAGTAATACATGCTTGGTAACGTCACAAAAGGGATTGACGAACATTTTGAAAAACGACAGGCATTTCGTGCACGCTTGCAGCCGCAATGGATAGTCGTGCTAAAAGGTCCTTCAGTGAGTCAATGGGAGTCTCGTAAATAATGCTTTTCAGATGGCCCCATAAAAAACATGCAAGCTGGATAAATCTGGCGAACGAGGTGACCATCGAACGAGTCCACCATGGCCCGGAAATGTCCCATCCAAATTATTGCGGACTCGCACGTGGTTATGGGCTGGTGCAACCATCATGATGGAACCACATGCGATCACGAACGACAGCCGGAACATCCTGCAGCAATTCTGGTAGCACCTCTTGCAAAAAATTATGATAACATAAGCCATTTGTACATGAAGGTAAGAGGTATGAGCCTATGAGGTAGTCGTTAACAATACCCGCCCAACACATTCACGGAGAAGTGGGTTTGGAATGCATGTGGATGTGTGCCATGTGGATTACGAGTTGCCCACACATACATGTTGTGGCTATTGAAGATGCCGTCCTGTGAGAAAGTTGCTTCATTCATGAATAGCACATCCGACGGGAAATTTGGCAATATTTACATATTACCAAATTTTCCAAAATGTGATAAAATCTGTCAACCATCAGCATTACAAATCTTTAGGCAGCCATGTTCAGAAGCATTCATTATTTCACAAAATCCTTTTCTAATTTTTAGTGCTGTTCTTCCCTCCATGTACATAGTGATCTGTTTTCACTTAAAAAAACAAAGAATTACATAAACTTGGCACTGCGTACCAACTACCTACCAAACACATCATTTTTGTTAACGGTTTTGAGCCCAAATATTATATTCCTGCAGTTTCTTCTATTGCTGGCAAACTCCACAAGCAATATTTTGAAATTTAGTTCAAGGTTACCGGCCTACCCTCACCCAAATTACAATTTATCTCTAAAGACCATTGGAATTCCGAATACAACAAAAATAACACGTACAAAAATTGCAATGTTGTTTCACTGAAGGATTTTTATGAGCATGGTTGCCTGAAGAATTTTTTGTGCTTTATTGCCAGATTTACAACTTTTATTAAGGTGGCTGCAATAATATGCAATTACTTCTACTTTTTAAAATATTAATAGAGAAATATAAATTCTTACTGTATTTCAAGTATTTGTCTTTTTAAATAACTATTATTATCAAAATCTCACTCGTATTGATCAAGTTTTTAAATGAAAGGCCAACCCTGCTTCATACTGAAAAGTTATTAAAATTGGGATGCACAGGAACTATTCTTTTAAGAAACACTGTCATATTACTTCTTTTTAGTAACTATTATTATTAGCTTTATTTTCCTTTCAATTTTTTATATTTACTAAATGGATATATAATTTATCTTACCATTTTCAGTAACAAACATAACTTATATTCACAGCTAATTATAAGTAAGTTAATATTTTGTTATTTTTAAATATTAGCATCTATTTATTCTTATTTACTTTCTTTTAAATATATGCACTGCATATCATAGTTAGGGTTTTCAGTGTTGAAGATTTCACACTCTGTACTGCCTGCCAAGAATGGAAAACATTTAATTGTAAAATTTCGCTACATCAGTTTGGCGCCTTCTGAATGCTGCACCCAGGGACAGATGTTTTACCTTGCCTCACCCTTTAGCTACGCAATTGTTGAGTGTTCTTTTATTGATGCCAAATGTGATACTTTTTTTTTTTATTGATACAAACATGTTATGATGTAGGTAACAGGATCATGAGTTTTTTCAAAACCATATTTTTCAAGCAAGAAAATTTTTAATATTTGATTTTGAACAGAAATATGTTTTTGAAGAAAGTATTTAAATATATTGAAAACAATTCTAACAATGTATAAAGTAGATATATATTCATATGTGTATGCCCATGCATGATAAAACAGACACTTTCATATTTACGTGCAACATACGCAGGGGTGCACATAATATTTATGCATCTTTTCATAGTTTGTCAGTTCTGATGTGTTATAAGTGAATGAATTATAAAGTCAAACTAATAAAAACCAACATATAATTTTAATTTGCAGAATCCAAATGATGCTGAACATGAATCACAAGAAGAAACTACATATTCTTTTGAGAAGACAGTGATTTTGAAGAGCAAGGCTACAGAAGAATCACAGGAAATTCCAGAACTGCATAATACACAATTATCAAAAACATGCACACCAAACACTACAAATTCAAATAAAAAACAGAAACATGAACACATATTCACAGCAGCCACACTAGGAAACATTTCAGCAATTCTAAAATCAAAAGAAAATAATCCAGATCCACTATCACAATTTGGTTTCTATCTCAGCTCTGAATTAAGACAAATACAAGACCCCCAACTCCTTACAGATACAAAATTTGAAATGCTTCAAATTCTCAGAGATGCACAGACAGAACAAAATAAAATAAATTAAATTCTATGAATGTGAAAAAATAAATAAGACTTCACATATTTTTTCATATTGTTTTGCAACAGAAAGTAAAAATTGTTACAAATAACATTCTTTATTTTTATTATTTTATGAAATTAAATATTTAATGCTATTTTCAATGTTTATTCTGCCATTTTACTTGTCCTTCATTCTTGACATAATGACATATTCTTTCTCACAAAAGTCTTGCTTCAAAAGACCTCGTCTCATAGCCATTTTGTTTAGAGAGAGCTTTCATTTTGTTATTGGATTCCTGGCTTCACCAGAAGCCTGGCACAAAATTAAACTCGTCATCTTCATGGTCGATGAGTTCTCCTGGCATATATAGTTGTCTAGATGGTCTTTCTCGCAGAACGTTATGCATGCAACAGCATACAGAAACAATTTTATCAACTGTCGGTGGAGGCAGTTGAATCAATTGCATCAGGATCTGAAATCTGTTGGACAGTATCCTGAATGCAGCTTGCCTTGGACAGTCGATAATTGAAAAATCCTCTGTTGCTGAGAGATATTTCTGCCAGGATATGGTCTCATCAGATATGGTTTTAAAGGGAATGCTTCATCAGCAACTATAAAGTAGTTCACAGGATCACTACTTGGTACCAAAGGAGTTGGGATTGGCAGCTCTATGCAGTTATTTTCTAATAATGAAAAACAAAACTTGTCCTAGCAAAAACTCCTCCATCCGATACTCGTCCATTACATGCGACATCAATGAATGTAAAATTGTAGTTTGCATCAACTGATGCCATCAGAACAATACTATTGAAGTTTTTGTAATTATAAAAAGTGCTGCCACCATCTACAGGTGCTTTTATCATAATATATTTCCCATCAATAGCACCAATCAGTGTGGCAGGTTCCACTTTTCATCAAAAGCTTCTGCAATACTTTGCCATTCTTCAGCAGAGTTTGGTATCTGTAAAAAATGAAAAAATAAGCATTAAACATGAAATATAAAAAAAATCAGCATTGTATAAAAGAACAAGTCAATTATATTTCTCTTTTTTCTCCCTTAAATGTCGGCACATTGAAATAAAGAATTATATAAAAAGAACAAGTTAATTATATCTCTCTTTCTTTCCCCTTAAATATCAGTGCATTGAAATAAAGAATTGCATATGAAACACTTTTCCCCCCTTCAATCAGATCAAGTTAAATGCACTTTCAATGTGCTAAGAAATGTTGACAAGGAAAAAGTTTAACAAGCATTTCTTTCCATATGCTAAAATTAGATTTTGTTAATGATACTCATAGGTCAAAAGATTACGATTAATGCTATTTGAATTATAAATAATTGTCTTGTTATTCACATAAACCCAGGACCAGTGCCAGAGTTCATAATTCTGTCGTGCCAGGCGACAGAATTTAGGAAAGTGAAATTTTTTTGAATTTAGAGAAGCACCTAGCAACAAAAATTAAGGGATGACAAAATCTTTAGAATTTAGGGAAAACAGTGGGACCCAAAATTTAGCACTTGCTTGGAATTTAGCATCTGCAAGAGACTGCATCAGGCAGTAAGATATGTAATGCTGGCCCTCAATAAGCCTTAAGTATACGTGGAAATTTATTTATTCAGCACTCAGATAAGCATGTGCAAGAAATAGACGTAAGTATAATAAATAACTAAACTAATAAAATTCAAGTGTAATTGTCTCGATGCGCGATAGAAGCAAGACAAAATTTAGCGGAACAACTTGTCTTTTGTTGCCAATCTCACGATACATGCCAATATGTACAGCAGATGCAGTTAAGCTAAAATTATACTTTACAGATTCTAAAGAATTTCAGTTAACATAGCAAATCTTGCTGCTCTTTAAATTTTCTGATTTGATGCAGCTTGTTATTTTTTTAGCAGACTGTTATTATTACAGCAATTTTATGAAAATTAAAGTTTGAACTTTCGATTACGTTGAAAAGAGTTCTTAATTCTAGCATTACAACAGGATCTATAAAGCAAAAGCATGTTTTGATGTTTATTGAACAAAAAGTGAAATTGATAAAGGTCTCAAAATTACCATATATACCTGTGTATATGTTCGAAAATTTCAAACTTCGATGTAGGGAGTCGACTTATATGCGGCACCTAAAAAAAAACATTTGCAGTGGCGAACTTGATTATTAAATACAAGATAATATGTACCGTATACTGCTCATACAGAAAAAAATCAAATTGTTTATTTATTTCATTTTATCATCTGGCGTTGCACACCATGTTGGCTTTAGTTTTCCACATGCAAATTTTGATCGGAGGTCAAATCGGCGGTAAGCTAACGTGGTTGCCGCTGATTGGCCGATGACGTCAAGATCGGTGGGTTGGCCGAGTATATATATATGTACGCCAGTATCGGCGAATGGTTCTTGTTTCTAGTTCTCTTGTGTGATTATCAGTTAGCTTTATGCTAGTTTGCTTTCACTAAATGATTTTAAATGTAAAGGCTACAGTGTTAGCTCTTTTATTTTTATTTACGGAATAAAGCAAGAATTTTATTTAGTTTAGTCTTAGCTTTATTTGAGGGAAGCAAAACATGCTTTGCCTTTATCACCACTGCCAACACACCAATTAAATCTGTACGATATCTGTGAAGAGTTCTGTAGTTAATATAACCGTATTGAATCAGCAACTGATGGCGCAGAAGAAGATGCAATGTATCCATGCCAAGTGAGGATATGACATTAGTTGTGATGGAATTTATGACGATTCACAAATGAATGAAATGATCACCACATGAATGAAAAATAATTTCAGAATTTATTTGGCGATTCAGACTCTGAATTAGGATTTGAATAAAATTCTTTGAAGATTTTTATATATTTTTAAATTTTATCACCATTTAAATGGCAATAAACAAAAATTTGCAAAATTGTGGGTGAAATTCTATCGAGAACATCGGCAGCAGCTGGGCTGCGCATGCGACAAGTTTGTTTTTCCGAAATTTTTTCTAAAGTGTGGGGGGGGGGGCGATTTATACATGGGTATACAGTCAAAAGTCGTTAATTCGGACACCCATAATCCGGACCTCAAAGCTAAAATCTTTCTGCGCATGTGCCGCGTTTACGCGTGCACGCAAAATACGTTTTCGCGTGCGCGTTTAATGTAAAACGGACGGTATAAGCTAAAATTATCTAATTATCTATTTCAGTTAATGTTGATGATTGCGTTGTTCCTTAATCTTCGAATTGGATCCGGCTTATTATTTTTTGCAGACTGTAAGAGCAGTTTTATGAAAAGTAAGCTTGAACTTTCGATTATGTCAAATAGAGATTTCCGATTGCTGGAGCTCCCAAAGGATCTACAAAGCAAAAGTATGCTTCGATGTCCATCAAACAAAAAGTGAAATTGCTATAAAAAGTGGATAAAGGCATATCCTTTGTTTATCTAACGGTTCCGAAATCTGTTTATCAATTTCACTCTGCTCTGCGTGGAGGGGGGGGGACGTCGCGGCGCCGGCAATGAACTGGAAGTTGATCTGTCAGCACTATCGTTATCTTTAGGGCAGATGTTTTTATTTTATTCGGCTTATAATTCCTTACTAAATGTAGTATTTAATCTCGATGTACTCCGTCTTTGATATGATTTAAATCAAATTCCTCGTCATTATAAATATCACGAATACAAATCAAATAGTTTTCTGGTTGCAATTTTCTAATTTCGGCTATGCTTAAGGTATGCTTTACACATGCGCGTGTTGAAAGAAATGTTTAATAAAGTAAACAAATAAATATTAAGCTTCTTTTTTTTTTGTAAATTTCGATACCCTTTAGATCATAATTGCTGATTATTTTATAAATTACGGTTTCATATTTTTAATTTTATAATTTCTGCATGCCATCTTACCAGATTTAAACTGATGAATCGCCGAAGTCCCGACGAGTCCGGATTAAAGACTTTTGACTGTATATGGTATGTGAGGAGTACAGCATTGGAAAATCAACTGTATACAACATAAGCAAATAAAAAAAATGTTTTGTGGATTCTGACACCACACTCGCAAGGAATGACACAAAATTGTGCTAAAAGTGATGACTAAATTAGTTAGATGGTGTCACAACGATAGCATGCCATTGAAAGGTCCAATTCTAATAGACCCGTGAAATACCTTGGCAACCTCTACAGGAAAACATCCAATTGGTGTCACAGATTCCAAAGTGAGACTAACAATTTTTTTTGTTATATACCATGAAAATAAAACAGCCTAAGGATTGAAGGACTTGTTTAAAAATAACTTCATACATGAGGCTCGGCAAAATTTTTCGGTTGGTTTATTTGATGATACAAAAATTGTCCTGATCACAGATAACTGTCTGGTTCATATTTCACTTAAAGTTTTACTGAGAGACAATGTATTCATATTATTCTTTCCTCTAAATTATACATCCATCATTCAAACTATATATCTAATAAAAGGAACTAAGATAATTAATATAAGGGAAACAAATCTTGATCATATTATCTATACAGATAAAGTGATGTTTTGCTTGAAGATGAATCATTGAAATATGAAAGATATAAGGGCGAGTCAAATGAAAGTGAGCCAATGCGAATATATGACAAACAGAGTACTTTATGTAAAGGTAGTCTCCATGAACATTGAGACATTTATCCTATTGACAAATGAGCCGCATGATACCCGTCTCATAAAACTGCTTGGGCTGTCGATTCAAAAAGTCTGTAACCGACTCTTTCACGGCGTCGTCCGACACGAATCTGGTACCCTTGAGATGTTTTTTTAGTTTCCCGAAAATGTGAAAGTCGCATGGCGACAAATCTGGGCTGTATGGAGGATGTGTTGCAGCGTGTCCCACTTGAACTTTGCCAGTTGTGTCTTAACCACATCAGCGACGTGGGACGAGCATTGTCGTGTAGCAAGATCACACCATTCGTCAATCTTCCAGGTCGTTTGTTCTTGATTGCGACACGCAGCCGATCCAGCGTTGCACAATATCGCGAACTATTGATAGTCTCTCCACGCTTAGCAAATTCAATCAGTAATGGCCCCTGACGATCGAAAAAAAAAGTCAATAGCACCTTTCCCGAGGAAATGACAGCCTTTGCTTTCTTCGGGGGGTGAATTCAAATGTTTCCACTGTAAGCTTTGCCGGCGTGTTTCAGGTTCGTAGTGGTGGCACCATGATTCGTCTCCAGTCACCATTGCAGACAAGAAGTTGTCACCCTCATTGTGATACCGGATGAGATGAGTCAGAGCAGCGCCGAACCTCTCCGTCTTCTGGCGGTCGTTCAAAATCTTGGGCATCCATTGAGCACACAAAAGCCGATAACCGAGATGATTATGAATTATGGTGTGAACCGAACCGTGACTGATGTTCACACGCTCTGCCAGTTCATCGATGCTTATCCTCCGTTCTTGTCTAATCAGCTCATCAACCTGTGCAATTGTGTCGGGGGTGATTGCAAGGTGGCTTTGGCCCGGTCTTGGAACGTCTTTGCAACTTTCACGTCCTTCTCTGAACCGTTTGCTCCAACGCTTCACAATGGCCAATGCGATGCAATGTTCACCGTACACAGCAGTCATACGGCGACTAATTTCATGTTGGGAAACACCTTCAGCTGTCAAAAACCTGACCACACTACGCTGTTCCTCTTTTGGAGCGTCCATTATGTCATGCTACAGTCTTCAACCCAGTGTAAGAGCGCCTTAAAGAACTAACCTCACACTTTCGTGCCACTTTCGTAAATGAAGGCTGTCTCTATGCTACGCGCATGCGCCGCAGATGATGGACCGAACCATTCTTGCTGAGGAGGGGTTGGCTCACTTTCATTTGACTCGCCCTAATACACGCATCCTGAGTTTCAGGAAGGAATATAAGAAAAAATATTTCTGTGTAAATTATATATTAGCACTTACATACATTATTTAGTAAAACAGATAAAAAAGGGTGGATGAAATAAAATCTCATTGTGGATTGGATAAATTTCATGGCTGCTGTTAATGTATAAGATATTTGAAAAAGTTTCAAAGTAATGGTCATTTTTAATCCAATAAATGAAACTACGATAATTAATAGAGGGTAAACAAATATTTTTTATCATAATATCCACGCAGAGAAAGTGATAGTTTGTTAGCAGATGAATGATTGCAATGTGAAGGAAACACAGCAAACTACACAATAGCAACTACAACAAATTACACAATATTTTACACAGCACAACAAACTACACAATATTTTACACAGCGCAGCAAACTACACAATAGCTTGCTGTATCACACAGCACTGTAGTTTACTGTGTGATAGTTTGTTAGCTGATTTTAAATAAGGTAGAAAAAGTAGTTCCAGTTTGGAATAGTTTCTAAGTAGTTCTATTCATTCACTGCCTTAAGTGTACCTGTTCATGACTTTTTGGTGGCGATCAACATAATCAGTATCTGAAAATGTTTGATTACCCTTGAATCAGAATCTTATTGAGAATCTATGTTAAATTAAGATTGCTTTTTATTTTATGGAACTACTCTTATATGCACCCTCAAGTTGCCAAATTTCTCTCCATGGTGCCATATTACTATATAAATATTTTGCCTACATTTCGAAATTTAAGCCTAAAATGTCTCCCAAAACGTGGTTTTCGTGCATGCAAAAACCATGTTTTGAGTACACAATTTAAGCTAAAAATCCGAAACAAAAACAAAAAATTCAGATAGCAAAAATGTAAAATTCCTAACTAAAAATATTTGACAAGAATCCATGTACACAGCGATATGTTTTAACTTGAAAAAACATCTACGAATTGCACAATCTAGACAACAAACGAATCTACAAACTATGCACACCTCGCTTTAATAAATTAACATAACAACAATAAATTTCAAAGAATACCCTGTACACAGCATCCTGTTTAAACTTAAAAAAACATCTATGAATTGCAAAATCTAGGCATTGCGCAGAAATCAACAAAATAAAGTAAAATAACTAAAATTACAAACAATTCAAAAGCAATAATAAGAACAGAAATTCATAGTAAAAAAACAATGAACATAACGGTTGATCTTTACATTATGGTAACTTGGCGATTTTTTGTCGAAAATTTGGCAACCAACTCTCCTACAGCAACCCTCTATTTTTTTCCCCCGCCGCCATTTTGTCTTCACGAAGTAAAGACATGTTTCTTTTCTTTTTATCTACTGAACACTTCTTCCAACAATCTACTAGCCGAATTACACTTATGCTAGAAATTTTATCAAACAAAACTACTTAATCATGACAAATATTCACTGCAAAATTGGGAAAAAGGGCACAATACCATACTCCTTACGCGTTTTTCAAAATAACACATACACATAAACCATGTACACGCCGACTTATTTTTACTTAAAAAAACATCCCAGAATTGCACAAAAATGGCATTGCGCACACTCTTCACTATATCCATGTACACTGCTTTTTTTCTCATAAATTAGAAAAATTTCACGAAAAAACATGACAATTTTCTCAATCTTTAAACCTGGTAAAAAGAACATATATGAAATTACCTGATCGCGAAAAAGTATTTACCCTTTCCAAATATGAACATTTCCACATATAAAATAAATAAAATATCCAAAAACTTTTACCTCTAAATCATCTATTACATTATACACGTCACCAACGAATTCATACCGCAAGCATTACAAATACTTAGTATCAAATATTTAAATTATTTCCATGCACGTTTACTTCAACTTAAACATATACCAAATTCCTACAAACATAAAATTCACAAAATAACTATCATTTAATTAAAATATCACTAAACCATGTACACGTCGACTTATTTTTACTTAAAAAAACATCCCAGAATTGCACAAAAATGGCATTGCGCACACTCCTCACTATATCCATGTACACTGCTTTTTTCTCATAAATAAGAAAAATTTCACGAAAATACATGACAATTTTCTCAATCTTTAAACCCGGTAAAAAGAACATATATGAAATTACCTGATCACGAAAAAGTATTTACCCTTTCCAAATATGAACATTTCCACATATAAAATAAATAAAATAACCAAAAACTTTACCTCTAAATCATCTATTATATTATAAACGTCACCAACGAATTCATACCGCAACCATTACAAATACTTAGTGTCAGATATTTAAATTATTTCCATTCACGTTTACTTCAACTAAACGTATACCAAATTCCCTACAACCAAAAATTTCACAAAATAACAATCATTCCTTTAAAAAAAATTAAAATTCAAAACACTACTTAAAATATAAATGAGCACATACATTAAATTAATAAAAATTACCTTACAATCCTAATTACTTTAAACTAAATCATTGCTAATAACAATTTTCCCAATAATACCAAATTCCTTTCCACCTTACATTTAGAACAATGCATAAAAATAATATCCTCAAATAATTAAAAAATACTAACTTACCTAATCTTCTTCAGAATCTTGATTACGTGTCCGATAAACTTTTCTTCTTTCTGTTTCAGGATCTTTAAAATCATACTTATATTTCACAGCAAGGTACCAGGTAAAATAAATAACTTAATAAACATCTTTATTTCTATCTCGCACAACTTTAAACAAACATTTATAACTACCCCTTTTCAATACCACTAAATACCCATTTCGAATTCACTTTAGTTACGGCCATGGGATCCAAAAATTAACCAACACTGTTTCACAAAACACAGAATAAAGCCAAATACAAAATTTCCAGACTTCTTCCCGATTTCCCCCCTTTTCCGATTAAAGAACCGTAATTCGTCCATTAATATCACATGACATATCCCATGATCTCTCATTTCCCTCACACAAAATAATACCCAATCGGAACTGAGTACTGCTCACATTATTACCAAAGTCCCAGGTAGTAACCTTTATCGCCTCGAAAATGTTGCCAAACTACCAGTTACCATTTTGTAAAGATCAACCAACATAACATTCTACAAAATAAAGACAGTAAAATAAAATGCACTTACCATAATATATTCGTTAATAAAATTTCGCCAGACACACAATGTCTGTGAACAAAAGTTCCACCATTTTGCTATATCACATGTCTTTCTGTCGAAATTCTACGATTCAAAATTTCGAAAGTAACGATAAAAACTTCCTCCAAAGTAACTTACTACACGAAAACCATGATCCAAGTCTTAAACTCTGCTGACAGTCGCATACTTTACCAGCAAGCATTTAACTGCAAATCCACACAAGAACTATCAGAAACGCCCTTCTTCTTCGGCCGAGTTCTCATAGCAGCTCCACATTTCGCACTCCGTTTTATAAGTACCACAGAAATTCCAAAAATACACTTCGATCCTCATAAACACACCCGTGGAAAAAAGACTCATTAACAGCTCCAACATCGTACCTTTTAATACTAAATTTACTTTTCACACAATCTAAAATATGCGACTGAAACCTTCCCACCACATCTATCATTGCAACATAGGCCATTTCAAACCACGCATGACACTGCAGCAAAACAGTTGCCATAGCATTGTCCACCAAACCATCCCACAACATGGAATCATGCCAAAAACCAGCGCAAAAGATATATCGCCACATTTGGTGATCTTAGGGCGCATATAAGAGTACAGTCTATTTTATTTAGCGTTTGTTAAAAACTAAGAGAGGGGAAGGAAACTCCTATTTACCAGTTACTGAACCAAAATGCAGCTCTTTCATTATATTACTTTATTTGTAAACAGAAACCTACGTACTGAATTGTTGTAATGCTTTGTTAATTAAATGGCATTTTAAGGAAAACCAGCTTTCAAAGCTAAACGTGAGTTCTTCCTTTAAACTAATAGTTCATGATCACATATAAACTTACTATATCATATAATAAACAAGGTTATTACTCACCTTTACGTAATTTTGCATGGATTCCCATAAAGCTTCCAAAACTTCTGGTATAATTTTTGATAGTTTGCTTGGGTATCCTAAACAAATACTGAAAATTTGAATAAGAACATCCTGTAACAAAATAATAAAGAAGATTTTCATTTTCATTAAAAATGATGCAATGAAATATTATAAAATTAATTCATAATTTCTCGAAACTAAAATAATATTAAAACTATCCTTACATTTATACTTCAGTTTTGGTGACTATGATTTATTAATTTCAATAAAATCAATTAGGTAATTTCTAATAACATAAAAATTAACTTACCACCAGCTAGAAAGCATAGAGTAACGTGCAGCCTCTCAGATGGCGAAATTGCGGAACGCATGATAGTGTCACTGTTTTAAAATTTTGTTACAAACTGTAACAAAAAATCAAAATTGCATGGCATCATCCGAATTCCACCGTTATCTTCCAAAGGCAACTCCCAGAACAGGGTATCATGGACAACATGAATTTCCCGGCATTTGACACAGTTTCTAGTCCAAAGAAGTTTCCATTTTTCTCTTTTATCTTCTTCTGCAGCAGCAGCAAAGATTAAAATAGCAGATGTTGTTATAGTAACAATTAAAGCTAAATTTTCATCCATTATTTTGATTCAATACGAACTAACAGAAGTAAACGCACACCATACCACAGGTTTGTTTTCACAATCGTTGAGAGTGTGACGCTGTAAAGGGCGGGAACTCTTCCTTCACAGTGACTTCATTGACTTATGGTAAAGTGAATCACGGTACCATATTGTCACGGTATCACGGTACCATATTGTCGGACGACAGAGTCAGCCGAAAAGATCGGTACGTGTAGACGGGTCTTTCCGACTTGTTATTTTAGCTTTGTCTACCTAAAATCGCCGCTGCCAAAATAGCAAGACTTGCACAAACTCGGTATCCATGTACACATTGACTTATTTTCACTTAAAAAAAAGTCACAGAATTGCACAAACTAGGCATTGAGCACTCCCTTGACTTCATCCATGTACAGGTCGACCTATTTTCACCTAAAAAAATAAGAGAATTGCGCAAACTTGGCATTGCACAGTCCCTTGACTTCGTCCATGTACACATCGATATATTTCCACTTAAAAAGTGAAAGGAGCACCCAATTCTAGGTAAAAGTATATTTACGGAACATTTAATGACTCAGGCTACCATAAATGAAACAACAACTTGGCGATAAATGAAACAACTTCGCGATAATGCAAGGGGTACCCTTCAGTCTACTCTAGCAAATAAAATGTCTATGATGAAAAAATATAAAAATGGTTAAAAATGGTACCTAAGTTTCTTTCAGAATTTATTTTTCTTTTCTTTAATGTAAGTGATTTAAGTGCCATGTACTGAACCCTCGGTTAAACACAATTGGCTTTAAAGGCACAACTTGGACATTTCTGTTCATTGTTTCTCCCCTAGGAATGGAATGAGGTTGTCTCACCTAGTAGTCTTCTTTAAGTAGATGCTTGGAGCCATCCAGTTTAGTTATTTTCCCCGTGCCATGGAGCGCATTTATCAATATATTGGCTTCTCAGGCACATTGCACCCAAATTTGTCATACATTTGAAAGCTCATAATATTTCATTTTAGTATTTATTTTTGTAGATATAGGTTCTAAAAAAGATGTAAGTGTTGAACCTGCATCACAGAAATAGGTTTCGGAAGAATGCAAAAAATGTCAAACTGCAATCTGCCCAACTCGTACAAATAAGGTTCAGCTGGTTGACACCGAGTAAATCTCATCTTATAAGCCCCGCACTACAATGCTAAAAAATTTTGTTTAACAATCTATTAATTTGTTAGCTTGATAATTTATACCATATGGTGTTGGATCAGATATTTAAACATTCTTTTCTGTAAGTTTCCTGAAAAATAAATGTGTTCATTTTTACAGCGAATTATGTTTTTATTTTCTTAACCCTTAAGTACAGACGTCCATTTTCTGTTACATAAACATAGAGGAGGGGGGGGGTCTCTCAGACCACGCTCTACTTTATGCATTTTAAAAACTAAAATTTTCAAATAATGTACTATTGTTACTATATAAGCATTAATATACTTTGCTTGTTATAATGAAGCTTTTTTAAAACTAAAATTAATGCATTAAAAATTAATTTTTCAAATCACACATGAAAAAGTAAGAAATAATCAAATAAATAAAATAAACACTACTTACTTGCAAATGTGTACAAAATAAACTATTTAATTTACCATCTACAGAATCCGGATTATATAAAGTAATGCAAAAAAGGTAAAAGTTTACAATTGGGTTCCCCTTGTTTTTTGGCAATTCTTTTTTGACGCCAAGATCAGCACCAGGAAGAAACAATTTCAAGATGGCCGCTACACAAAACCAAAATAAGAAGTCAAAGAATCGCATAAACTCTGTGTCCATGTACACATCGATCTGTTTTCACTTAAAAAAAACATCCCAGAATTGCACAAGCTAGGCATTGTGCACTGCTTTAAATTTATCCATGTACACACCAATCTACTTTTATTAAAAAAAAAAAAAAAAAAAAAAAAAAATCAGGAGGCTAAAGCAAAGTTAAACTATCATAATAACCAGAAATGAGATTTTATCACCAAAATTTTACAAAAAATTGTCGCTAATCGAAAGGGCACCCAATTCTACACTAGCGTGGCAAAAAAACCTGATAATATATAAAAAATATTAAAAAACTGCAGCACATTATTTATGCATTTCCAACACAATTTTTGCAAATTCTCTTAACACATTCATTACATATCTGATTCTTGCAGCTGCAATACACAGTTTTCTTCTTAGTCTAGGGTGATACAGAGAGCATGCTTTACACTTTTCAAGGGTATTGGTTACATCTGAGCTAGAACAGATTACTCTGGAAATTCCTAGCACACTCTGAATGTTCATTTTTATTTCTCGGTTCACAGTTGGCTTTAGAAGCCTTTGTTTCATATGTAGTTTCACTTTTTCTGATGATACTCCATAAAAAGATCATTTTTTTTCCAATTTGGCCCCATTTTCTTAATGATTGATGCATTACATGTGCATTAATTCCACTTACATCAAGTAACCTTAAGAATATGGCCATTGGCCATCGTCTTGTAGAATATTTAGAACATTTTCCATCCAATGCACCTACACCTTAGTTAAATTGCAAAATGTTATTATTTTTGGTTTGCCAATTTCAAGGTCTTCTGATTCTGATTGATGCATTGAAGAAATGAGAATAACACTATAATATTTGAATACATATGAAATGAGTGTCATTCTGTCTGTTACTGCATAAAGGGAAGCTCCTTTACATTTCGTTTTATTTGGCAAAAATTCACCTGGTATTTCTCTCTCTTTTTTTCATAGTACCGACATATGTCAAACCTCTAGAGAAGTTCGACACTCAAGTAGTAATAAAGGTCATCTCTCCCTCATGCGAGAAAAAAGTAATGTAAATGCAGAGGTAAGGTCTATGTGAATGTGGCCCAATTAAAAAAATGATTTAAAAGAACTAATGGATACAGTTTAATAAAAATTTAGGAATAGTTATATGTTAACTGAAAGTACTGAAAAGGAGAAGAATAACTATATAACTTCTAAGCAGTTTCGCAGTTCTAAAATATTGGCACGGTCATACAGACCCCACCACTGCGTTTAAGGGTTAAACATGCCCACAAAGGTAAGTGGTTACATTTTTAATAATTACTGAATATTAATAACATTAATTACAATATTTTTTAACCTGCACTTATAAGAAGTATTGCGCTCGAGGGTAAGTTATGAAATACACATAAAGCTTCCAGGTAAAATCCTAGTATACGGTGCAGCCTTGGCGCAATTTTGAAAATTATCGCCAACACGGAAGCACTTCCACAGAGAACCCGGTAAATGTAAACATCGCCAACTTTGGCGATAATAGTTCAAACCTGGTAACCTAGCTAATTCATCCTATTCGCTTATGCGAAGGTTGTCGTCGTTCGCATTTGGAGATTTGTATTATTTTTCTCTTATTTATTATTATTTTTCTGAATTTTTTAACAATGAATAGATAGAAATATTTTCGCATAATTAAAGAAGTTTTCGTCGAAAGATGCCGGTTCTCGGGTCGTCAGTTCGGGATCAAAGGAAGAAATTATGGCGGGAGGGGTGAATGCTAATTTGTGACATGGCTGTTCACGTTATGTTCTTAATTATTAACAGCTGTAAGCACGCAGAACCATGAGGTTTCCAACCCCTATAATAATTTTTAAAATGTATAAAGTTCTAGTTTTATTAACAATGCTACTGAAGAAAATTTGATTCATAATGTATATATCATCATTTCATAATTGTATTTCACAATAGTGAAATATATTATGAAAAAGGATAGGTATTTGTTTCAAACGTAAAATGCTTTAAGCTGTATGCAAGTAACTTAAAAAAAAAAAAAAAAAACTTGAAAACTATGTAAAATGGATGTATTAAAGGATCATGCATTCATTAATTTATTACATGGGCATGGCTCTTATCTGAAATATATCAATCAACAGGCAAAGTACTTAATAATGAAAAAAGACATTTGTAATAGAAATATTAGTATTCTAGGTATATGAATTAGAGAAAATACATATAAGTATATTGTAAACGTAAGTATAAGAATACTAATTGTTATTTTTTAAATGAATTTTTACTTCCCGTTATGTTTAATACATTGTTTTCTGTGCTAACTTGAATTTAATAGAAATTTATTTCGTATATCACGTTTTAACCTGTTCTTCATATCTACATACTTATTATCTGTGAATTTTTACTACCATTATCTGCTAACTTGAATTTACATCACTAAAAACCACGTTTACAATATATCACGCTTACGGCTCGGCTCATTGGCGAGTAAAACTGCAACTGCGCCAAAGGGTTCTTTCCCGAAGCGCCAACGGGTTCTCTGCGGATGAAAACCCGCCAACACCAAAAATGATCCAAAGAACGTCTATATATATACTATATACTATGTGTGTATATAACATAGTATATACATTATATACATAGTATATACTATGTATACTATGTATAACTATATATATTCTTTGAATGATCCGTTTACTACTCATCGTATATGTTGCGTTTTTACTGCTCATCATAAAGTCGCCAAAAGTAGCCAAATCCCGTGTGCACCGGATACTAGGATTAAACCAAGCTTCCATTTTAATCTGCTCCAATTCTTCTGTTACAGGTCAAATTATGATTCACTTTCATCAATTCAACATTTGCATGGTTACTAAACTGTGATTAACAGAAAACGATAAACACATGATAATATACTAAGATATAAATTAAAGTGCTAATGCCTGAAGATTATTCAGAAACACGCAGCATTCTAGAGTAACAATGAAACAACATGAAGTAAGCACATCTGTGATAAACACGAGCTCATTATGTTAATGAAATGAATACATAATAAAGGGATACTAGATACTTTCGTGAGAGTTAACTGTAAGAAATTTATACAAAAATAGTTTTTTTTTCATTAAAAATATTCAATCAATAAAGTTTCAAAACAAATAAACTAAGAATGTATGAAGAGAAAAACATACAAAACCATGACTTAATTCAAAATTCGGCGCTCACCTTTCTTACAATTATCTATATGAAAATATAAATAAATTATGTATAGAATCACTCGCTACTGTACTCGGGTAAATTTTCAAATTACCGTCTTTAGCGCCACACTGTTTTACAGAAGCATACAATGGATAGACACAGATTTCTCGTTTCGGCACTTTCCTAAATCTTTCTGCCCACTGGGCGAAACAAGGAGGTCAGAAACGTGACTTCACGACTGATGACCTTTCCTTCAATTTTTACTTTCAGGTTTTGCTAAAAAATAAAAATAACTTGCCGTCATTCAAGTATAATTGAAAAATAATTCTGGGTACTTCTGCCTCAGTGACGGAAACAATGCTGCATGAGCGGAATACGTATCTCGCTCTTGAAAAATTGACCGAACCCATTCCCGCCTTGGAACACAAACGCTTTTGTACAGCAAATACATACATATTAAATTACTTCTCAAATGCATAACGCGCTTTCTTTCTTCAGCTTTTTTAACTTTAGACATTCTACCGCAAACTTTCGACATTGTACCCCAAAATAGGAAATATTGCCCATGCGCAAATCAAAGCGACTGGATTGGTTGGGGGTAGTAATTCTTAGGCTTACAAATTCTTGAGACTTACAAGTGTAAACGGGTGGGATCCTTGGGAGTAACAACTTAACGTTAGCGTACGTTTCTTGGGACCAAAGTTCCGCTAGTGTAAACGGGCCTTAAGGGGCGAATTCAAGTGCAACACTTGTCATGGTAATCGCACTTGCATTGCAAAACCGAATTCAAGTGCAACGCTTTTCGGACACGCCTACTGAAAATACGTCACTACCATAGAGGAATTTTGCGGCTACTCCTGACCTGCCGCAAACTCTTAACAGCGACTGTAAAGAAGATGGCTGAAGTGATTTTGCTCAGACGTTTAAGAAATCGGAGAAATGCTGATCGAATTCCCTTGGCATTTAACAGACAGTCGTAATCCTTTTGAAATGTCTGGAGCGCGAATTCATCAGTTAGATTCAGATTAAATTCGGTAAATAAATGCTTAACAATGAATCATGAAACCTTTTCTGAAGGCAACTAACTGCCAATGGATATTCTCTGCAAATGCAGGTTTGTTTTTACTTTCACATTATGAAAACTGAAATACTTCTGGAAAATGTTACCGATTCAAGAGACTATGCTTAAATGACCTATATAAGAACATTATATACTTTTATACGTAAACACACAAATTTGTAATGTTCCTGTGCATCAGGATTCTTTCTTTTTTCATCCCGCTTTTTTCTTCATAGTAATGATCGAAACAGCATTGTTAATTACTGCGAATTTTGGTATCCAGTAATAATATCACCATTAATTTATCCTTTCGAGTTTTAAATTATTCTAAAACGTAATCTCGGAGAAACTGTTTCTCTCTAACAGAAATTATGCATATGCTTGCCTTTAATTAATTAATATATATATATATGTATATATTTGGGATTAGTTTTTGGAATATTATATATTTTTTTCATGGTTTTAGATACGTGCATTTAATTTACATATGCTCTCAGAATTTCAGTGATATAGTAAATTAGTTTTGCAGCAATAATTAATATTTGATATGTATGCAATTAAAATTTCATAATTTAAAAACTTATATGAATAGAGAATATTTGTTAAATTCAAATTTCATTCTTTGCAGCAATGGCACATGAGAATTATTTAACTTTACTTTTTATTCTTATGAAACAATATATATATATTCTGTAACTGTAGGGGCTCCTATATAGAGGAGCCTTAATGGCCGCTGTGTAGCGTGGGGATAAGACGAAAGTTTTGTTTATATTTGCATTGAAACTGCTCAGCAAAATAAAATGGGTTAGTGCACTGCTCCAGGATGCAACAATCATTCCGGCTATTCACCATCTAATGTTACATTTCATAGGTAAATGCCATAAACTGATTATTTTACTATTTCTGCATATTCTTGAAATTCAAAATTTTGAAGGAAAAATATGCAATCGCTCTTCGGAATACATACCAGATGATTTAGATAATGATAGTTTTTATAACAACAAAGATTGCTAGTTCATAGTCTGAAGATGATCAGCAGCATACTAAAAGTTCCGAAGTAACAATTTGACATACATGCAGCTTTTCCCATATACAGTTTTATGTCATTAAGATACATATTTGCAATCACCTTTTATAATTAAAAAAATATGTTTCATAACTTACTTCATTGTTAATACATTTTAATGTTTACATTATGAATTTCATAGCTTTTTTAATAAAGATTCCATAGTTGCAAATTTAAAGATTGAAAGAGAACTTATTATTTTATATTTAAATTTCTTCCTTTGATTTACATAATGGGCAAAAAATCAAGCATAGGTGCGAAGGAAAGGTATATACAAAGGGGGGCAATTTTCGTATTTCAGAGGAGAGTAAATAGGAACTTCGTATATTTTATACGAGTTCGAAAGGCCAGGAAGAAAAGATGGGACAAAATAAATATAAAAAATAAATGGCCTAAAAGGTAATGGAGAGGAAATTTTAAAAAAAAAAAAAAAAAAAAAAAAAAAAGAAAAGAAAGGGGGGTCCTATAGAAGGAAAAGGAAAGGAAGTAAGAGGATTTTCTTTTTTAAAAAAAAGCAACGATTGTGTTTATGAGTGTAGTCAAAAGGGAAGGAAGTTGTTATCATTTACATTAAATAGAGTCTTCCAGATGTGTGTAATGAGTGTGTTTAATAAAGCTGAATAGATGTGCGGGGGAAAATTAATTATAAAAATATAAATATTGGGAGTCCAGTCACATAACAGTATAAGTCTAGTTTAGAAGCTAACTTTTGCTATGACAGGGAAACTAAAATTTAATTTTTTTTTAACATAAGAAACAATATGTTTGCCTCTACCTTGAGATACAGTAATAAAAGACACATAAGATCAAAAGACATGTAATATCAGGCAAAATTGTATATTAACTAAAGTAACGTCATCTATTGCGGTTTTCAACATATTCATACATTATCCAGAAAACAGTATCAGGCAAAATCATAAATCTATACAGTGCGAAGCATATCAGCAAAAATAAATAAGTAAATAAATTACAGAGTTTATTTTAATTTTAATATCAATTAATTAAAAAATAAGCATTTTATTTATTTAACTGTCATATTTTACTATATTTGTACTAGTTTACCAAGTTGAAGCACACAGTATTAATATATGCTTTTAATTTAAATACATAGGGAATGTAGATTAATCTTTGTCTCTCATATGCGGAAGGAGCAAAACCGCAAATCTATACATTCAATCGAGGCCCAAGATCGTGTTTTTTCCCTCTCGAGAAATTCCTGAAAGGGGCCCCCGATGGGACAAGCGCCTGGCCCCAGCCACCACCCCAAGCTCTTATTGGACACGACTTCTGATGTCATACAGTGACGAAAAGAATTCTCCGCGGCATTATTGTGCGCCAAAAGCTTGAACCCGAGGTCATTTTAGCGCTGAAACAGGCGAAGCGATGGGCGATGATAGAATAATTTGCCATATTTGCGAAAATTACAAAAAAGCAAAAACTAAGAAATATATTGTTAATATACATAGTATTACAAAAAGGTGCAAATCGATGTACAGTCGATAACCGTTTAGTCATTAGATGAATATCGAAGTCATTTGACAATAAACACTTTTTATAAGATATAAAAGTTAAGAAACAAAACAATAATGCATAAAAAAACAGCATGATAACTCCAATTGACAAAGTCAAATAAACGCTATTATTAGTGCTTTAAAAATATCTTATCACTTTACCTTATTTTTTAACCATAAATAAGAGAAATTAATGCCTAGAATTAGAAAGTAAAAAATTAATCTGACTACGAACAATTTTGATACCAAACAATAAATGAAAGGAAGGTTATTTAGTTAACAAACAGTTCATTTTTATAAAGAAATAACTAGCTTTTACATTTATATCACTTTTAAAAACACTTTTCTGTAAAATAAACCGCTAATTCATGAAAACTGCGGCAGACATTATTTACACAGTAAGAGTTAAGTGCTATTTGCTTGACATTGCTGACGAAGCAAATCTTGTTAATGGTCTCCTTGCTATATGAAATTATAACAATACATTTCTGAAATATCAGTATAGCGCTACGAATTGTACTGAATACAGATTGCTTAGCCAAACGGTATTTACGAATTATAAAGTTTTATCGATTCCATTAACGTGATTTAACAATTTATATAAAAAGAGCCGACATATTTCCTTATACTGTTATGTTCGTTTTAATTGCAAATATTCTGTTACATTGCACAAATTCACATTAACACAGGACATAAACAAATCCAAAGTAGTTATAAGTTTCCCTTGACATAACTCAAACGAAACAGATAATGAAATCTTTTCAGCCTGACGTCATAAACGGCAACCAATAAGAACAGGGGTGGTGGCTGGGGCCAGGCGCTTGTCCCGATGGGTAGTGCTAACAGGCGACACTAAGTATTTAATGCCGAAACATAATAAAATGAGCATGATCATAATGAACATAGTAAACAAAGGCATTTAAAGGTACTTTAGTGACAGATATCTGATTTAGTTTAGAAAAAAGAATTTATACTTATCTGAATGTTCCGTCCTCGTGTTGTAAAAGATTACAAGGAAGATAAGACCTTTAGATACAGGAGAACTTTCGGATTTTAAGAACGAGACATTGTAGAGGATATTCGCGAAAATTTTTCTTAAGGAAATGAAAATTTTCTGAAAAACAACTTTGAAAATTTAGGAGCTCTCCTAAGATCCTGCCTCCATCGTGAGTGAACACAGCGCCCTCAACTGAAGACGTGAGAATATGAAACATGGCATACAAAACGCAGTTACGAAAATATAACGTAATAAAAAAATTACATAATAAAACTCACATACAAACCAGAACTACAAATACATAAGCTACGAGTAAATACAAAACTACCAAATTTCCCACAGACTTTGAAAATAAACGCAGATACAAAATATTAAGGCCCGTTTCCACTGCTGCGTAAGCGTTGCGGTGTCTATGCTTTTCTCCAATCAGCGAGCGAAATCACTTTGATTGACATCTGCAATCCGGTCGATGTGCGGTGACGAATGACGTACGGATGGAGTTTCAACGCGGATGCGTTGGGGGTCACATGGTAAAAAGGAGTAATCAGGTGTCTAACCTCCTTGTCAGGTGTAGTCACCAAAATTAATGGCGGCAGAAGTAGCGATGAACGTTCGCTTAGGGAAAGAATGTTTTGCTAAAAAATACTTATTTCTGAATTAACATTATAGCGAGAAATCTGCGTGCTGATAAAAGACAGCAATCAGCTGAATTTAGTTAAAAAAAGATAAGAAAAATAAGATAACTGCAACTACAGTACTTGTTCGCAGATAAAATCAGGCGTTCAAGAAATTCAGTTCAAGAAAATCAGCGGCAAAAATTATAATTCCAAGTCCATGAAATAGCAAAATTTGTCCTGACAATTATTTCCTAGTTCTGCATACTCATTTACCTTTAATGAAAATGAATGTCTGACTATATCAAACTGCTATAGCAAATTAGATATGATTAAAA